CTGACAAACTATCAATGAAAGCCCTCTGAACCTAGACAAAGAAAGTTCATATCATTTTTGCCTGCTGCCAAAAGGTGAGCAACGACATTTTGTCTGTCAGTGCTCACAAAATTTCTCATGATCCATCCGTCCGTTCGTCTTCTTCCGCTTATCTGGGGTCGGCTCGCGGGGGCAGCAGCCTAAGCAGAGAGACCCAGGCTTCCCTCTCCCCAGCCACTTGGGCCAGCTCATCTGGGGGATTCCCAAGGCATTCTCAGGCCAGCTGAGAGACATAGTCCCTCCAGTGTGTCCTGGGTCTTCCCTCTGGGCCTCCTCCCAGTGGAACATGCCTGGAACACCTCACCAGGGAGGCTTCCAGGAGGCATCCTAACCAGATGCCCGAACCACCTCAACTGGCTCCTCTCGACGTGGAGGAGCAGCGGCTCTACTCTGAGTCCCTCCAGGATGACCGAGCTTCTCACCCTATCTCTAAGGGAGAGCCCAGACACCCTGCGGAGGAAACTCATTTCAGCTGCTTGTATCAGCGATCTCGTTCTTTCGGTCACTACCCAAAGCTCGTGACCATAGATGAGGGTAGGAACGTAGACCGACCGGTAAATCAAGAGCTTCGCCTTCTGGCTCAGCTCTTGCTTCACCACGACAGACCGGTACAGCACCCGCATCACTGCAGACGCAGCACCAATCCGCCTGTCGATCTCCCGCTCCATTCTTCCCTCATCATAAACAAGAACCTGAGATATTTAAACTCCTCCACTTGGGGCAGGACATCCTCCCCGACCCGGAGAAGGCACCCTACCTTTTTTCTGGCTCAAGATCATGGTCTCGGATTTGGAGGCACTGATCCTCATCTCGTGATCCATTGGAAATTTTTTTATAAAACTTTCAGATTAATTAATCTAAAAAACACAAAAACTGGCCATAACTTTTTTATTTTTATGAAAATAGAGTTCAAATTTAGTAATTGAAAGTCATTCAGAACACAAGCTTAGCAAATCTGTGTTTTCCCCCAGAATATTCTGCAAAACAACCTATTTTTAGTGATTTTTTTTATAGATTTGGTGAACTCCTAACAAACGGAGGTTAACTGGGCTTTTGAGGTTTCTCTCATCAGCAGAGAGTACTAAATATTTCAGTCTAGTTCTTTCATTGAGGTGTACGAAGGAGGCCATCTGGAAATATTTTGGTACAGTTTGACTAGAACGAGGCGGGTGCTACATTTGCACAAACAACAAGCCTACGTCTCGTGAACGGTTTCATGAAGAAGTGAAGTTATTGTTTTTTTTCCATGTCAAAATTCAGGCAGTTTCCACACTCGGAGAAACGACACAGTCAGATGTTGCTCATGATATGACTCACCTTGCCAGGAATCCAGAGAAATAAACGTGTGGATCTTGTAAACAGTTCCACGTGAATTGTAAAGTTTAAAGAAACATGAGAAAGAAAAAAATACAAACTGTCAAGCATTTGCACAAGCCATCACATGCACCCAGTTAGGAACGTCAGAAAAGCACTCCAGTGATGCCAGCACGGAGATGGCAGATACAGACTTACAGACCAAACAGGGCTTCTTTTTTTTCTTGTGAAAATAAGGGATGAAGAAAAATGTAAGAGGCAGTGAGTAAACATGTTAAGAAGCAGTGTGTGTGGATTGTGTGGAGAAAACAAAGATACAGCAGGTAAAATAAGTATTGAACACGTCACCATTTTTCTCAGT